ACTAACAATAGACGTGTTTGATCTTAAACGGTATCCTTGACTCACGAATATTGTTAGCCAACCAGCTCTAGCTTCCCCTGTTTCTATCCTCTTTCTATCTTTAATACCAAGCCTATTACTTCCTATGCCCTAGTCTCTTGTGTGCCAACCCAAAAATGTTGTGGTTCAACATTGAACCAAATCAAAACAAGCTGTACCACAACATTTGTGGGCTGGCACACTAGAGACTAGGGCATGGCAAGTCATAGACTTGGTATTAGGGATAGAAACAGGATAGAGACGGTGGGGGGCGAAGCTAGTTGACTGACGGTAGGTCTGTTGTACCAGAGACGTGGTACATGTAGCAAAGGAGTAACCATGACACTCAGACGCTTGCGCCTCAAATTAGTTACCCAGACGCAGGAGAGGGCGAATAACGCCTCGAGTAGGACAGATGTGGTGACAGGAGTCGAGTGAAATAGGTGAACAAGGGGTAGAGCAGACGAATTTTATGGAGCAAGAGAGAGACTGGAATAAGACTAGGAAAGAGGACTGCATAATAATAAAGCAGACTCTGATAAACATTCCCTGCACAACAATGAAAGGGAGGGGAGAACGACAGTTGGAGTGTGAAGGTTTCATGTCGCTCAAAGGAGCACACCACACTATATCTAAACAAACATGGTAAAATTGTAATAGTGAAGGCATGATAGGATGCTACCGGAAACGCGAATAACTCAGAGCAGAAGGGGAGATACCACAATTGTTTAGCACACGTTTAGTCAAAGGATCGGCCTCACTTGTCTATTTAACGAGTTATTGTATGGGGCTACGAATGGCGATACTCACTGACGATGCCGACTACGATGCCGGCGAAACGTTTGGAAATGTACCCCGTCCATGGTTCAAATTTGCAAATGATCATGCAGATAATGGACTCCGAACTAGGTGTGTCCTATAAGTCTTCCTACCAATATGATCATGTTTCGGAAACAAGATCAAACAACCTTTATACAATGAAAGGAGACTGCGACCACACAAAAGGCCACACCGCCTTGGTCTTCATACCTTCTAAAAATTCCATTTATTGTTTGTCTGATTTATGCTTGTCCTACATGAATGTATGAGAGTAAAGTTAATGCAGGAAGAGGAGCGGATGTGGTCCCAACTTTTCTTTATTTAAATAAACCAGCGTATGATCCCCTAATACTGAGACTTGTTTTAACTTCGTTGGTGCATGCGCGTTGTGTGTATAAGATATAGTGCTTCATCTGGTAAGAAAGAGTCATTATAATTAACTTGAGAATTTGGAAATTTGAATTAGGTCATTGAATGATAAGCAGAAATTATTCACAGAAGAACGAATTATGGTAAGTCAGAAGGTGGTGGTCTAAAACACCATTTGGCGTTGCTACTAAAGAAGTTCCATTTAGACATATTAATCATGCTTTGTGAAATTGTAGGAATTTTACTGGGAAATTTTTGTATAGCCTATAAACTTTACTGATTACTTAGAAGGAGTCTAGAATAATCATGTAGAAGCACAATATAGGAATAGGTGAGTCAATGACATGACTGAGAAACTTAAACACATGAACAAGTTGTTTTGAGGACAGACAGAATAGGCGCAGTTATAGTTATGGTTATGGCAAATTATATAGAAAAAATGATGCAATCTCTGGCCGATTTTGATATGTACAGAATTATAAGTAAGGATTCTACAGAAACACTAAATTCGAGACTTATGCGTTGCCTGTAACAGTACATTAATAATGGAGATCTGTAAAAGTGGAAAATGAATGCATTTTGTCGACGCGATACTAGACCCATTAATGGATATGGTCTGCCAAAAATTCACAAAGAAAGGGTCCCACTTAGGAGTATTGTGAATAATAAGGACTGTAAGATGCATAAAACATCAAGATTTATTTATGATAAATTAAAGCAAATCTCAGGATTTTTGCAGTTTCAATAAATCATTCTTATCGAATGTATAAGGGTCAAGATTGTGTCGCTTTTAAAGCGGTCGCAGCCTCATTTCGTTGTATAGAAGTTGTCTAACCTTGTTTTCGCAACTTGATCGTATTGTAAATAACAGTAACATACCTCTGAACCATATGCCGAACAGCGAAAATTACTGCAATAATTTTTATTTGGTATTCCAGGTTAAAACATAATTACAATGGTTCCCTTTATAGTTGGTTTCCTCATTATACTAAAATTATCAACTACTAGTTGCAGTCACATACTTGTCACACTTACCTGCCCTCCTCCCTCTTGTAGAGTTGCCGTCTCAGGGTCGCGTCTAGCATCAATTAGCATTTGCTCTATGTCCGGTTCAGGAAACGGCTTTACGCTGTTTTCGGCTGCCCTTACTTTGGCCACAGTGATACGGTTGGGATAGGTTGGCTTGGAGTGCATGAAGGAAATGCAATAACAGAAAAGACATATGCCATAGCGCAATCAATAATTGTAGTAAAAGAAAATAGTTAGTAAATAACGGGTGAACAGTCTTCTAGGCTCGGTTTTACCTCGAGAATGCACGTCTTCGTTGTGAAGTCCCCTGTTCGATTGGCCGACAATAATGGTAAGGCCGGTTCCAAAGCTCCCCAGACAGTCGCCCTATTCCCAACGTATGCATTTCACTTAGCATTCCTAATGACCTTTGCCTAATGGTGATACTTCCAGGAATGCTATCTTCATCGGCCCACTTCGAACCCAAACGCTGAGAAAGACTAGACGCTGGTAGATCAAGGCAAGGGAAATTTGGGCCAATCGCTTTGAGTATCGCCAGACGTGTGCAGAAAAGTTGAGTTCCAAAGGATTCCTTAATGATTGATTATGGCATAAATTTCTATTTCGACGGAAATGATGGCTGGACGTAATTTGTGAATTGGTATCACCGGAAGCAGAGAAGCGATAGCTTTAAAATGAAGATAGTTGTATTGTGCAAAGTTGTCCTTGCTCACTGTCCTGCGATGCCGATGAACGCATGCTTAGTTTGCGTCTATTATGTGACAGATTATCAGAGCGAGGAAGCAGTATTTACAAACTAATGCACTAAATACAATAAGCCAAGAAACAAGGTCTTATTGTATTTTGTTTAGATTACATTTTTGAGACGACCAGTAAATCAGATCTATATGCTGGGTTCACCCCATTTTGTTTTAGGAGATGAAGGACCGGTAGTTGAATTTTCATAATTGTTGAGCTTACTTCCATTTCGAGTGAAAGTGTTGGGTGGAGAGATTTGAAGGTCGGTTCTGCCAGAAGACGACGGCGGATTCCTCTTGACCAGCTGTCGATTGGCTTTACTGGAAGATTCATGCTGACGCTGTTTTCGAGGCAATCTCCTTCGATTCCGGTGAAAACGTGCTAAGCTTTCGTCCGTCATATGACATACATCATCAGAGCGAGGTAACATCGTCACAACAAAATTCAAACTAACGAGTCAACAACAGTTTAATTTATAGTTGGTTTCCTCATTATCCTAAAATTATCAACGACTAGTTGCAGTCACATTCTTGTCACACTTTCTTAACTCCAAAGCTTGAATTTTGTTGCGACGATGTTACCTCGCTCTGATGATGTAC